ATTCGCAGTGATAATGCCCTTGAATTCTTAAATTCTGATCTACAGTCATATCTTTCTACTCATGGAATTCTTCATCAAACTAGTTGTGTTTATACCCCCCAACAAAATGGTGTAGTGGAGCGAAAACATAGGCATTTGCTTGAAGTTGCACGGGCATTAAGATTCCAATCCAACCTTCCTTTAAAATTTTTGGGGTGAGTGTATCTTGACTGCTACTTATTTGATCAATCGCATGCCTACTCCTTTGCTTGGTAATCGCACTCCTTTTGAAGTTCTGCACAATGTCAAGCCTAACTACAATCATTTACGAGTCTTTGGCTGTTTATGTTTTGCATATAATCATCATCATCCAAATAAATTTGATGCCCGTGCTCGTAAGTGCATTTTTCTTGGTTATCCTTTTGGACAAAAGGGTTACAAACTTTATGATTTAGATACAAAAGTTGTCTTTATAAGTCGAGATGTTGTCTTTCATGAGACTTTTTTTCCTTTTAAAACAGCTCCTACTACAGAAAATAATCATGTGGTTTTACCTATTCCAATCAATGATAATGAATGTAGCTCTTTACCTATGGAGTCTCCTGCTAATAATATCTTATCATCCACACCATCACCCATAATTTCGTCACCTGTAAGTTCATCACCGTCCTCACCTATTTCTCCTACACATGCATCACCCACAAATGTGTCATCCTCATCACCAAATTTACATCCTGCCCAACCTTTAAGGCGTTCCACTAGAACTCGTATATGTCCTCGATACTTCTCCGATTATCAATGCTCGCTCGCCACTACTCAATTGGACTCCAAGTTAGGTACACCATATCCTATTAGTTCTTTTTTATCTGCAAAAAATTTATCACCAAGTCATTATGCTTTCCTTGCTTCTATTTCGAGTATGCATGAGCCTTCTAATTATTCTCAAGCTGTTAAGGATGAAAATTGGAGACAAGCAATGGAAACAGAGATTAAAGCTCTCGAGGATAATCAGACTTGGATTCTAACTGATTTACCAGAAGGTAAAGTTCCCATTGGTTGTAAATGGGTCTACAAAATTAAATATAAAACTGATGGTACAATCGAGCGGTATAAAGCTCGTCTTGTTGCCAAAGGTTTTACTCAGCAAGAAGGTCTTGATTATCATGAAACATTTGCACCTGTGGCTAAATTGGTTACTTTGAGGTGTTTGTTAGCAGTGGCAGCAAATCAGAATTGGTCTTTGCATCAGTTGGATGTTCAAAATGCCTTCTTACATGGTGACTTACATGAAGAAGTATATATGAAAATACCACCTGGTTTTTCTCGTCAGGGGGAGAATCGTGTTTGTAAATTGCAGAAATCATTATATGGTCTAAAGCAAGCCTCTCGCAATTGGTTTGCTAAACTTTCTAGTGCATTACTGGAGGTGGGTTTCTTGAGTTCTCCTGTGGACCCTTCACTTTTTACTCGGATTAATGGTGCTATTAAAATGTTTGTCCTTGTATATGTTGATGATATCATAGTTACAGGGAATGATGTAGCTGCTATTTCCTCTCTTAAGTCATTCTTGCACAGCAGATTCCATATGAAAGATCTTGGTATCCTT